TAATCATATCTCATGGTTTGGGCATATTAACCCCTTTTCTCAGGGTCTTTTTTTCTGGAAAACCCTGTATTAAAATGTTGCATGTTTAGTGACAGGACTATTGTCCGAAAATAAAGTACATAAGTTTACATGTTACGTACAAACTTACAAACAACGCCCGGTTTATAGTAAAAAAATTCTAAATCTTTCTATTGAAAACAAAAAACAATTTTATCCCCATTCTCCGACATAATATCCGGCATAATATCACTGTTCTGAATGTTGACATTAAAAAATCCTGATCAACATTTGCAATGTATCACGGGACCGGATGACGAACAAGCAAGGCATGCACTGGATGCACAGCCCAGAGAAAGCAGTGTACTGTAGCCTATCTGCATTGCATAAGTTTCTGTTTTATCAAATACCCAAAATCTGTCTCTTTTCGAACATACATTGTTTCATCAAGATCTTAATTAAGTAATTTCCAAAAAATCAAAGTTTAAAGCTCACTTGAATTGTCTTTGGAGAAACAGTTCCACTGAATACCAGTTTCTGTCTTGAGTCATACTCGTGGATACCAGTGTGCTTTATTGGCCAATCAGGATTTGAAGCTCATTAATCCTGCACAGACTGACAAATCACGTAAATCATTGTACAGCCTAGAGTGACTGGTACCCTTTTATACAGACGTTTAAGGACGACATTTTCTTCTTATCAGTTAAATTATCTTTAAATTTTTAAAAACATTTTTCTGGTTTCTTGATGAACAGGCCCTTGAAAAACAGTCTCAAGAAAAATGTCACTCTGTGCTTGAGTGGTACACTTCCCCCTTGTTCATGCATGAAACGCATGGCTTATTCAGCCGTCCAATGACATGATGCTAGACAATGTCAAAAAGATTTACAGGTATTTTGTTTTTGTTCAACATACAGAAGATAAGTTGTACTTCATTTTCACAAAGCCAAGAAACTACTGAAACAAACGATGAAAACATACGCCTCGGCAGAGGTGCATCAACTTCCTGCTTTCGATTAACTAGGCTCTTCTCATAATCTGGTGATAGTAAAGTCCAAGGGAATTTAAAAAATTCATCAACAAGAAATCGCACCCTTAGCCCATAAAAGCCATCAGATTTGGATTTCACTCCGTCAAAAGCGCCCTAGGTACAGAATACGACACTCAGTATTCAAACAGAACTAATTTGGTTAAAGCAGTGGTTCTTTGTTCAACAAAAAAAATCTCGATGACGAGAAATTTTCTGTTTTTCTATGGTGTACAACCGTCCTCTAGGCACATTCCGTGGGCGCGTGCGGTCGATTTCAATATACAAAATGTCAGAAGGCCGTGTAGGTGATCAGCTGTAACCTTTAGTGACGGTTACCATGGCGACAATTTTTAATCCGCAAGAGCGGGAGACAACGCTTGACAAGAGATTCACGAGGGTTTTAATTTTTCACAGCCTGTCGCCGTACCAACTCATTTTCTAAGGCCATGTTGAAAACTAAAGGATAC